GTTGGAATAGGTCCTGAAACTGACGTCGGAAAACTCTATATTATCCAACGTTGTAACTACGTTGTCCAAATCACCTAAAGATCACTTAAGCAAAAAAGGTTAGAAGACAACGTTTATTCGACGTCGCAGAAGCTTCTACTTTGCTGTAGTACAAGTCCAACGTCGACACAACGTTATAAAAACGTTTAAATTTATTTTAATAGCTAAGGTAGGGAGCTAACTATTTTTTGTAACTAATCCAACGTTGTGTTTAGTAAACATGTGGTCGCAAGTCGTGAAAATGCTACTTGGGTGTTGGTAATTTACTTATTTCGTTTTGAGTTATTTCTGGCTCCTATTCAATCAGCAATCGACACGAAAGAGAATTAAAAAATATTGTCTCAAAACTGACAACTAAAGAGACAGCTTTATTTATTTGTCAAATTACATAGAAACCAACGCCAACCCAGCACAATATTTTTTCTACTCGTAATAAATTCCTTGAAATAATAATTTCTGAATATTTTTTAAAACGTAACTCGTTATGGAAGAAAATATTGTTTTATACAGTACGATAAAATTGCATTATCGTCTTCCGAAATTAATTCACTCGCGATTTCATCGCTCGTGAATTAATCTTTTCGATCAACGATAAAATACAATTTTATCGTCTTGTATAAACAATATATATTAATATGTTAAATTATATGATGAATGTCGCTGAGGGTCAGTTACAAGCCAATTTGACGATTTTTTTTCATCGTAGCATCACAATCTGTTTTTTTGTGTTCTTTTAACACTCATTAGCACTAATATATCTGAGAAGGGGATTAAAATAAAAGTAACTTCAATTTTAAGGATTTAAATATCTTTAATATATCACACGAAGAGCATACATCAACCTTTTTTTATAATACATTGTTTAAAATTTCTTGAATTATTTTCTATTCTGCTTATTACAATTTAACGTATAATCGAAACCCTAAAAATCGCTGTTTTTTTTTAATTAACAAAAATTTTTACGACTTTTTTTGGATCTTTTTGTTCGATCATCAGTTAAACATGACATGAAATCTGCATAGATTTTTGATTTTAAATTTTATACAGCATTTTATAAACGATAAATATAATAAATTTGAACCAAAATTGTTTTACCGCAATTTTTTAAACATTAGAAGTATTTCAAGAGTTTTTTTTAATAGAAAGAAAAATAGAAATTATAAATAATTTTTTTTAAACTATGTCCTTTTTTAAAGCTTTAAGAAACACAAGAAGGTTTTTTAAACTCTTGAAATACTCCGTATAAATCTTTTTTTAACTCGTACTGTATAAAATTCTTCCAAATTTTCTTTAAATTAACATTATAGGTATACCTAATATAGGCAATAAAAATCTTTTACAATATTTTTGTTTTAAAAACAACAAAATATAATGAGGTTTGCATAAAGAAAATTTAAGCCTCCTTAGAACAATAATAAATTATTTTTTGAAAAAAAAAATTGTAGGAAAATTATAGAGACTTCAATTTTCTTTGCAGGAAAAATTAAATTTTATTTACTCATATTTTTAAGATTTTAGACTAATTCAATTTGTTACATAAATATACGGTTGCAGTCTGTAGAGATGTTACTATGCAATACAAAAAAATATACAGAGTGAGTCAGTATATACGATGGCAAAATATTATTTTTGGATATAAATTTTAAATTTAAAAAGAAACACATTTTTTAATAGCAATAAATACATATAATTTTTCAATTAATTACTGAACAAATGGTACCATTATTACTAAAATAAATAATGTCATGTGTTTGAATAAGAACAACGTCACAATAGGCATAGAAATAACATTTTAATTCGGGCTAACATCTAAATAATTCTCAATTAGCTTTCATTGCAGTCATTAAGATCTTCAGCCATTAGAAATAGTAAAGCTTAAACATAACTTTTACTTCTTTGCTTATTATGACGTTGTTTTCAGTCGATTATACACTATAAAATATTAAATAATTATGATACAAAAATTTACTCTATTTTGTTTAATCAGGTATAATTTTCTCTAAAGTTTTTTTTGAATTGAAATATAAAATATTTATATAACATAATAAAATCCAGCATTGGGAACAAATATTCTCAAGAAAATTTTTATTGTTTTTAATTTTAAAATAAATGTATTTATTATATAAAAAAAATATAACGGATAAAGTATATTTTAACCTTACAGTTGCGCAGAATGTCACAAAGAATCAATAAAATAGAGCAAACCTTGTATAAAAACGATTTACATTATATTAATTAATGTTTGACCACTCTGTATATAAGTATTTTTTAAAAAATCAAACGTCACACAATAATTAGGATATGAATAGACATAAATAAAAATCTGACGAGCTGAGGATTGCACATTATTTGTTTAAACATCCTATATATACATATATATCTTTTGCCTCTTATTTATCTTTATATACCACCGAATACAAATTCATGTAGAAACAAACTAGCGCCTATGTACAACGTAGGTTACAACAAATATACACGTTTACAATCTTTATTTTGTACTTAATTACACAATATATCTGACCTCTGATCACGAATTTCTGGGCTTTTGTACCATTAAATCATGAAAAAATTACCTTTAAATGACCCATATTGTTTTGGTTCAATACCAAATTAAATGAAAATTAAATTGCCGGGTATTGTAAGGTATTTTTCTTTTTGATTTGATAGTACATTTTAATTTTAAATTACTTAAAGGTGTTTGATATCAATATATTTGCGTTTCAATGAATTTATACAATAAGTATATACCTAATTTATTTACATAACGAGTGGAAATAAATTAAATTTACTACTATTAAGTCTCGTGACCAGATCTGTCATCACTTTTTAACAAAGTATGTAGATTGAGAGATCAAATGAAAATAATTCCTTAAATCGCTTGCAATGTAAGAAAGCAAAAGAGAAGATAATATACGAACTATTTAATACAGGGTATCCCAATATTCCGTGGACACAGAACTAGCAATACGAATTAAATTTTTAGTTACGTGATGCCCGTAATGGAGGGCGCGATTCTTAAATTCACTATTGCCAATCATGGACATATTCGGCCCTGGGCTGACTAAGTGGAATTTAAATTTCCCGCTGGGAGTCGGGTTGTAGCACTGCTATAAAAACATGTCAAGTTGCCGCATTTATTTATTTATTTCCTGACATTGTTATTCGTTTTGACAGTTAAACGGTTGAAATTAATTTTGTAGTGAAACTTCAAGTTTAAAAAAATTTACTAGCAGAACTTGCAGTTAACCATTGCTCTTTTTAGAACCTCTTTTAGAACGAAGTGGACAAGATAGCTTAATAGGCGTGGCAAAAAATTTATGTATACTACATATTTTTGGAATCAAGATAAGTTACTTGAAGACAATTTACCTCTACACAAGAATTCTTCGTTTGTACCTTAGAGAGTATCAATCAAAAATAAATCCAAAAGTTAATTAACTTAAAATTGATGAATCTTATTCTCAGAGATCAGTTGTGACACAACATTTCATATTATCGTTAATTACATTATTATTGCCTACTAGATTTTAAGGCTTCATGTGAAAAGAAATATTTTTTGTATGTCAGGTTCAAAAATCTTTTTTTTTTCTCAGAAACTATACGAGGTGGCGTTTTTTACAAGAGAAGGGCCTTTTTATGAAAAAAATAAATAAATTGTTGTTGAAGTTGCAAAATAATTCTACTAGGACTTAATTAGGGGTGAGGGTAGTTTTGTTCCTCCTCGTACTCTCTCTGTTTTTTTTGTGAAAGTCAAATGTTAAAGCAACTACCAAAACATAAGTACTCGGGTTGTCATTCAAATCGGAATATCGATTTATAAAATATCTTAATAAATGTAATATTTCTTTTAAATTTTATGCCCTTTAAAGGACAAACAAGTTTTTTTTTTCAAACGTCACAAAAATATTAATTTTTGCGACGTTATTGACAATATAAAAACGTAATTTTAACGCCTAGGTATAAAAGTAAAGCACTTTCAAGCCTGAGCACAAAAGTATAAAAATATATTACTAAACTGACATAAAGTGTCAAATTCAACGAGCGTAACCATAGTTTCTCGATATATAATTACATACAAGGTATTACCTACTTTCAAATATTTTTATATAATTTGCATCATTTGAAATTGTTTAACCGATTACTATATTACTTCGTGGTTCTGTGTCAACGAAATATTGGGACACATTGTATTTGTTTAATTTAATGGCTTTAAGAGTGATTTTCCTTATGGATAGATCAATGTAAGTCGTAACAGGAAGTACAGTAAATAAGACAGTAAGATCTTAGTGTTAAAGATAAAACAAAGTTTTCAATGGCTTTAAGTAACGCGCCATCATGTGTCACTTTCACTGTCAAAAACTTTTGATTTCTTCCGAAAGTCCTGAAACAATGTCAAACGTTGCAAATAATATAAAAATATTTAAAAGTAATACCTTCTAAGTAATTATATATCGAGAAACTATGATTACACTCGTTAAATTTGACACTTTATGTGAATAATGTCAACAATAATATACTGTTTTCCATAGCAACTGTTAAAATTGCCTTATATCTATCAAAAATAGTAGATAAAATAGTACTTTAACCCCAAGGGTAGATTAAATGATACTTTAACAGCGAGGATAGGTTAAAAACTTTATTTCTTCTCTCACGTTTTTTAATTGCTTACATTATTGAAAATTTTTGTATTCCTTTTCATAAGTTATTTGGGATTTAAATGGAAGTAGTTAGGATATGGCGTTTGTCGCTTCAGCCTGAATATCTGTTGGTAATTTAATTTCGTTTTGAGTCATTTCTGGCTCCAATTCAATCAGCAATCGACACGAAAGAGAATTAAAAACTATTGACTCAAAACAGACAACTAAAGAGACAGCTTTATTTATTTATCAAATTACATAGAAACCAACGCCAACCCAGCACAATATTTTTTCTACTCGTAATAAATCCCTTGAAATAATAATTTCTGAATATTTTTTAAAACGTAACTCGCTATGGAAAAGAATATTGTTTTATACATGACGATAAAATTGCATTATGAATGAAAAATGAATTCACTCGCGAGTTCATCGCTCGTGAATTAATCTTTTCGATCGACGATAAAATACCATTTTATCGTCTTGTATAAAAAATAACTCACGTCGCAAAAATTAATACTTTTGTGAGGCTTGAAAATAAAAATTGCAGTTTTTCGAAGTGTAAACTGACTTGGTAGTTGTATAAAATGAAAAATCACTGTTAAAATCATTAACTAGATAAATATAATCTTCTCTGTTGGCTTTCTTACAAGTAACAAACGCCCAATAAATATATTATTTAGTATTTACTCTTACTCTTACTCATCTAAAAGGTATGGTGAGAAAGACGGGGAACGGGGTAGGAATTCATTTGATCTTATGTCTTAAGTTTACCTAAAATTAAATATCTACAGGACTTGTGAAACTGAGTCGATAGCTGTGCCGTTGTGGCCCACTTATCACGTGTATTCTGACCTCCATCCGGCCTGAAACAAAATAAATATAATGTAAACTAAGTTAAAACATAATATACAGGGTGTGAAACAAAAATTAGGCTCATTCTTAGCAGATAAGACTTTTATTAAAGCCTTTGATGTTTAGACTGATAAACTGATATTACCTAAAATCAATCGTTTTCATAGACGTGTTGGTAAAAAGATAACAACAGTAGTTAAATTTTGACATTTTAACTTTAATTAGTAAACTCATTTTTTAGTATTTTACTTATTATACAGGGTCGAGGGGTTTATCGTTATTGGAATTACATGTACATTTTCTTGGTAGTTGCTTGGTAGTAAAATGATATTTTGGCAGTACATGTACATTTTTTTAACCAAGTGAGACACCCCTATGTACAGGGTTAATATAAGTAAGAGTTATTATTTACCTTAACTTTAAAACACCCTGTGCAATAATTTCGTAAGCAAATTTTACTAAGACATTATTTGTCGGTCAGAACAATATCTCTGAGCATTTTCTTGTTTGGTTCATGTGAATATACAGGGTGGTCAGAACTGTATTCCGGAAACTTCGGAAGTATATTCTGCAGATCAAAATAAGTCAAAAACTTCGTAAAATGTATGTTCTAAAATGCTTAGTTTCGGAGATAGAGGGTGTAGAATTTTCATTTTTAAGTAATGTTTTCCAAGTTTTCCAAGTAATTTCTGAAGTAACGTCAATATTTGGATGGAAATTGGTGTCTGGAAGTTTATTGACATGAGAAATTTGATTTTGATGTCAATATGACTCCTATTTGTAGAGAGCGCCACCTACATGTGTTTAACTGTTTTGAAGTGTAATAACTCGTTCGTACCTGTATAAAACTACTGAGTGAAAAAATATACATTTCCGTGATTTTTTACGTAAAAAATGTCCCTTGGTAAAAGTCGCTACAAGCAACCGTTCTCAAGATATTTAGAGTGGAAATTCAAATGTATGATTTCAGTCTAATTACTTTTGGTCAACATGTTTAATTTATATCAATGACGACAGGTATTGATAAATATATCCGATATTTGATTCTAAATATCTCGAGAACCATTACTCGTAGCAAAAACGTCGTAAATGTATTTTTTTCTCAGTAGTTTTATACAGGTATAGAAGAAAAGTAATTATTCTTCAAACCAGTCAAAAATATGTAGGTTGCGCCCTCTACAAGTAGGAGTCATATTGACATCAACATCAAATTTATCATGTCAAAAAACTCCCAGAACCCAATTTTTATCCAAATATTGACCTTATTGCATAAATTATTTGGAAAAATCGAAATGGATAAATCGAAATAAAAATCAAATTTCTACACCCTGTATCTCCGAAACTAAGAATTTTAGGACATACATTTATACGAACTTTTTACTTATTTTTATTTGCAGAATATGCTGCCAAAGTTTCCGGAATACAGTTCGGACCACCCTGTATATGATATATTCTGACAGAGAAATAATGTTTTACGAAAATTTGCTTTTTTTTTAGGAAAATTTTTTTTTTTTAGGAAATTATTGCACAAAGTGTTTTAAAGTTAAGGCAAAAAACAACCATTCAGGGTACATTACAACCCTGTATAATAAAGCATAATATTAAAGTTTATAAAAAACTGAGTTTACAAATTAAAGTTAATATATTTATACAGCGTTGTTCACCACATACGACACGGAGTATTGTAGCTAAACGATGAGATTTTTACAAATTGTAAGTTTGGGGTTCGTTGAAGGACTATTAGAGCTACAATTTAAAAATATTTTTACAAGATACAAAGTGTCCCAAATAAATAAAAAATATCAAAGTTGTATTTTTTTAAATGGAACACCCTGTATATTATTACATTTTTAGTTTCTACGAATAAAATAAAGGTAAATTTGATTAAGGTTTATTATACTTAAACCTTACCGTTTTTGAAATATTTTCAATTTTGTGAAATTGCAGTAAAAATTTTAAAGCTTCATTTCTCCAAGGGTATCAGTGTTTTTAATACTAAACATTTAATGAAGCTTATTTATTGATCAGTTATTGTGTTGCAATAATAAAAATAATACTACCTTATACAGAGTGTCTAAAAATTTATTTTAAATAATTATTAGCTTCAAACGGCAATAACTTCTTTAATTTAAATAGAATGCCCTGTATATTTTAGGAGAATCAGATGCACAATTAAATTGTCTATCAAATTGTATTATACCATTTTTTACCTATCCCTTCAAGTTTTCGTATAAAATGCATTTTCTTATAATTTAGACCTCATTTATCAATATATCAATGGAATATTGACATTTTAGATTGTTTTTAAAGCAACAAATGTACAAAATGTACAGACTAGTAATATTATCGTTTTTAGCAAAACGATAATATTACTAGCCCATTTGTATGCAAAAAGAAAACTATTTAAATCTTTATAAAAGAGTATACCATTAATTAAATATAACACCATTATTTCCGCCCATATACTAATTAATTACATACTTAATTGTGTTCGTTAATAAATTATTATAAATAAATGTGGATTTGAGTCAGAAATCAATATAATAATAAGTTATCAAATTAAAGTCTCTGTTGTTATAAACAAGCATTTATTAAAAAATGAAATATCATTTTTAAGGTGTTACTTTTTATCACACTGTCTAATGCCCATACAAAATTCAGTTTTTTCGTATTTGGAGCAATTATTATTAATCAACGCAAACAGACAGTTAATGTAATTTGAATACTGGAATCATATTAATTGGTCCTCTTTAACAAATATTTATACAGTTTTTTTTAATTTTTTAATGAAATAATATACGAATTATATCGACAATATTAGTATCTGTACTCTTTAAAAATTTGGTACATCTTTAAAAATAATCTAAAATGTCAATAGTCCATGGGTATATTGATAAATAAGTTCTAAATTACAAGAAAATGCATTTTCTACGGAAACTTAAAGAGATAGGTAAAAAATGGTATAATATAATTTGATAGACAATTAAATTGTGCATCTGATTCTCGTAAAATATACAGGGTGTTCCATTTAAATTAAACAAGTTATTGCCGTTTGAAGCTAATAATTATTTAAAATAAATTTTTAGACACTCTGTATAAGGTAGTATTATTTTTATTATTGCAACACAATAACTGATCAGTAAATAAACTTCAGTAAATATTTAGTATTAAAAACTTTGATACCCTTGGAGAAATGAAGCCTTAACATTTTTACTGCAATTTCACAAAATTGAAAATATTTCAAAAACGGTAAGGTTTAAGTATAATAAATCTTAATCAAATTTACCTTTATTTTAATCGTAGAAACTAAAAATGTAATAATATACAGGGTGTTCCATTTAAAAAAATACAACTTTGATATTTTTTACTTATTTGGGACACTCTGTATCTTGTAAAATTATTTTTAAATTGTACCTCTAATAGTCCTTCATCGAACCCAGAACTTACAATTTGTAAAAATCTCATCGTTTAACTACAATACTCCGTGTCGTATGTGGTGAACAACCCTGTATACAGTTTGCTAAAAAAAATCAAGAAAAATGAACTAAAAATAAAATAAATATAAAACTTTAAATTTGATTTAAAAAAATCCGTTACGTTTCTTTAGCATCTGAGTGTAATAACCATGAATTATGGTTATAATTAATAATTATTTGCTATAATTTATGAGCTGGGTATACAAAGCTCGGAGCCAGGAAAAACTTAACTGCTACAACTCAAAAAATCTCCACTCACCATTCCATTCGACGTCAATCCCAACCCGGCTGCGCTCAACGAACTCATGTGGTGGTGGTACGACGCAGCCGGTGGCGGCGCTGGAGGAGGCGGTCCACTAACGAACCCGTGCGGATGCGTACTGTTCTGGTACCAGTGGCTCATGGCGTGGTGGGGGTGTAGTGCGGCGTTGAGGTGCGGGTGGCCGCCGCCCATCGAGTTGAACTGGCCGAAGCCGCCCTTGGACGAGTCCAGGGGTTTCATCATGTCACCCATCATGCCACCTAGACTCAGGCACGCTGCGCCTGATTTTTTCTTTTTGCTCTTGGAGGAGAGTTTGCGGTTTCGGGTTTGGATACCCTCTTTTTTCATGGTGAGCGGTCGGTTTACCTGGAACAAGGAAATAAATGTTGAGGAAAACATGATTATGGAAATAAATTTAGTAACATACACTCATCGGCACGAAATAGTAATATTGTATGTTATGTATTTTAAAGTTTTATACAAGGTGTTTCAGAAAACATGTGCCATTTCTCGTGAGGAGATTCGTCACGTAAAAATAAGAATAATTTTTCATATCAACATAGGTCCGATTCTGCTTTGTTTTGTAGCTACAGGGTGTTAAAGTTTTAATAATCTTTCGATTTATTATACTTTTTTTCCAAGTACTTTTAGCGTTTCGAATGAAATTTTGAGGGTAAAAGTCTGGTATAAATGCTACATATTTTAAAGCTAAAAAGTGTCAACATATTCACCAGGGACGTGCATATATCACTGGAATATTTTTCAAAAAAAACATGTTCGCTACTGACTTTTTTCTTTTGATATCAAAATTGTGTAGGCCGTTTAATCCCAACTAAAAGTTATCTCTTGATATATTCGGCATTCTTGATGAGATAAACGCAATTTTATTAATCACAATAAAATTAAAATAAAAATAAAATTAATAAATTATATATTTTACCTTATTTATTATTAAATATTATAGTATTAGTTATTATTACTATTAAGCCAACCTAGAGCAATTTCAATTAACAAAGTAATGGTTGGTATTTAAGATAATTACAAAAAACCTAATTTTAAAAAGTTTTAACATCCTCTAACACAAAAACTATGCATTTCCATACCCATGTTTATAGGAACTTTTTTTCATATTTTTTGGTTAAGGGTTGCTAATAGACTTGGATCAAGGCAAATTAATAAAATTGCGTTTATCTCACCGAGGCCGAAATCGACAAAATATCAAGAGACAACTTTTAATCGGCATTAAACGGTTTTTATTTCAGACAGACAGTTCTTGTATTTATTATAATTTTTTTAAGGAAGTTTGAAAAATATATATTTTTTATTAATTTATAAATATCTCTGGAATCTACCGAAATATATTTACTCATATATTAGGATTATGTAAAGTGATCTGAAAAAAGCCAAAAATGCAATTATATACAGGGCGTTCCATTTAAAAAAGATCATCCCGATCCACTCACACTTTTTTGAGCCACCCTATAGAAGTTAAAATATTTTCCTGAAATACATCCTCGTACATATTTTAGGCATGAACTTAATCAAAATTCCCAAATTTTATAATCTAGGAGCAATAGACGCCCGACGCACTATTGTCGAACCCTGTATTTAAAATAAGAAACATTCTATTTTATATATCTATACTAATTTACGTATTATCTTTTGTTTGTTTGTTTGTGTACCTTGTTTGTTTAGTTTACCTTTGTCTACAAATTAAAAAAAAAATGACACTAAACGCATTTATTTATTTATTTATCTAATACTTTTCAAATGACGCGGCAACACCGTAACGTCGAAAATAATTTAGATCGATAGAGTAGGTGCTTTTATGTAAAAATTAAAATTTTCAAAAAAATCCGGTATGCAGTTTTTCATAAACTTGGGTTAAATCATCGTGTATAGTAATTCCTTTCCAAGCTAACATCTACTCAATCTACCCAAGCAGCATTTGGACGTCGGGACAACGTTGTGTCACGCGACCAAACGTCGGGGCGCAACGTCGGCACAACCTCGTGCCAACCCTAGTCTGCACTAGTTTGGAGAATAATTTTTGGGTCGAAACGACGTTGGATACCGACGTTGGCTAGAAGCCTAATTTAGTACAAACTGCAACGTTGTTTAAAATCCTAATTCACAGAAATACAAAACTAATATGGCGTCTAAGTCGCGTTTTATATTAAATTGGGATAATTATAGTAAAAATATTATTTTTACGATTTAGTTAGAGACATATGTCAGATGGCAGTGAAGGAAAACAAAAGAAAAGTATTTAAGTGTGGAGGATGTTTGAAGATCATAATTAGTGAAACGCTTTAACCGACTCTGTAACTCGATACCCAAGGCAAAAAAGTTAAACGCCAACAACTTTATTGATAAATGTATTGTTTCTACTTTGAAAAATACTAATGGGCCTTAAAATTAAAGAAGTTTTAAAAATTTTCTTGAATTTTTTTTTAGTAAAATGAAAATAATTTATTCGCAGTCGAAAAAATTGTTTCCGCGTGTTTTTTAGGGTCAAATATTTCAAGTTAATGGATTCAAAAAGCAGGAATTGCTATTTTAGGAACGAAATATTTTCTTATTTAACAACATGGCGGTTTTCACTTTGTTGTTTTGGAGATTAAGATGGAGTAGTTCGAGTAGTCGCATACTGGACTAATAAAGTCGCAGTTCGGCCTTAACAGGTAGTATACTAGTCGCAAGATTGCCTAATTTAGTCATCCTAGAATCTAGCTTGTGCCGCCCTCTATAATCTAAATAAACGAGGGAGTGGATAAACTATCGGTAATATATGTCGATATATATTTAAATTTAGTTTTTTATGTACCTTTCTTATGTCCCATTTTAATTAAGTTTTTTTTATAAAAACAAAAACAGCACTGAACTGTCTGACTGAACAGAACAATGAAGTGAAAATTTAAGATTTAAGGTTATGGTTCAATACAGTTGCATAAAGGTAGTGACTCGACGTCCTACCAACGTAAGAATAAGGAAATCTAAACAACGTTGGAATTAGTAAAACAGACGACGTTTGCATAACGTTGGAATAGGTCCTGAAACTGACGTCGGAAAACTTTATATTGTCCAACGTTGTAACTACGTTGTCCGAATACCTAAAGATCACTTAAGCAAAAAAGGTTACAAGACAACGTTTATTCGACGTCGCAGAAGCTTCTACTTTGCTGTAGTACTAGTCCAACGTCGGTACAACGTTATAAAAACGTTTAAATTTATTTTAATACCCAAGGTAGGGAGCTAACTATTTTTTGTAACTAATCCAACGTTGTGTTTAGTAAACATGTGGTCGCAAGTCGTGAAAATGCTACTTGGGTACTCGTATAGCTGATTTTAAAATTTCCTTTTCCTTAACTGGAAAGGGGCGGCCATCACGGTCTTTCTGCCGAGGAGCAAGGGGAAAGATGCCACCTACCTGCTGAGCCTTATCCAGGGTCAGAACTTCATGTCAGGATATCGAGTTGGCGAGTCATCAACTCGAGGGAGGAGGGTCATGGTCAGGTTCTTACAATAGGAATTGACCTCAAATCCAAGGAGGCAATAGAGAAAGAGGGACATATCCTCTATTACAGATACGGGACAACACCGGTATCAGGTCTAAGTAGAGATCAAGTTAAAGAGGTGGAGAAAATGGAGACAGATCCTCCAGCCTCCACCTCACGGGTTCCTCAGCCGGAGGCAAGCTCCTCGACTGTGAAGGGTGGCACGGAGGGCCAAACTTCAACCGTGGAAGGGTGTGTACCCTCGGAGAAAGAACTGTTGTCAGAGGATGATGGGAAATACCCTGTCCCCTCTACAACAAGGGTATGATGGGTTATACACTGTGATGACTCAAGGAAGGAGGGCACAATAGATCTTTAAGGTCGCAGTGATCAACCCCTCCTCTTACTCATTCTACATTCTACATTCCTTAACTGGAAAGACAATAAAACGTATGAATCGTTACTAATTTATATAATTTGCAATGTAATCAAATATAAATCAGCTTAAAACAAATAAGGCCATATGATGAGACTAATACAACTGAAACAAACTACTGAAAATTATCTGTAATCTAGTTTACTAACAGCCTAACGATAACTTTCCAAAGCATAATCAATCCTCCATCAACTCGATCGAAACTTATTCATCTAAGTACTGTTTATTTTCAAAATTAAACCTCGCAGACTATAAATTCCCCCATAGTACCATCGACGACTTAATGAAACTCACACCGAACGAGATCCATTTTATCACGTTTCGGTTTTGAATTGAGCTCGGCCTGTGTGTTTAACTCCCGCCCGGCCTTCGACAAGTACCATACTTATGGTACTCCTCTCCATGTATATATTGTGTTAGGTCGTACCATGTGAATAACGACTGTGTGGCGCTCGCTCGGGGCCAGCATATCTAGTGATTTAGACCTGGAGGATGTGTATAGAAAGCGGTACCGAAGACGGCTACCATCGCCGTTCGTATATATATCAGTAACATGGTGTAAGAGAAGGAAAAAAAGAAGGTAGAAAAAGGTATCGAGTTACGATGTGAGAATGTCGTTCTTATAGTGGACAGTTTTCTAGGATACTCTGTCTGTTCAATATTCAGTGGGTACTTGCAGTAGCGGCGTGTGGTTCATTACTTTTGGGGTGTGCAATCTTAAAAAAAGTATCACGCGATTTGTGATGAGTGAGACTAGTCTTGGTCTTACTCTTGCACGAAATGGTCTTCCCCATTGAACACCGGAATAATATACTGGTTGTTCCATTTAAAATAAAATAGTAAATTGTATTTTCTTAAACGCAGGTTGGCGCCCCTCACAACGCGAAGACTCCAAGGAGAACGACAGTTTGTATTGAAGCGAAATTTTGTGAGCACATGTAGGTTGTTGCACTTTTTAAAATAGAGACTTCTACAGGGTGTCCCCAAAAAAGTTACATATCAAAGTTGTGTTTTTTGTAATGGAACACCCTATATATTAATTGATATTCGGATTCTAGGAAAAAATAAGGGTGAGTTTTATTAGAGAAGTATATGATGCAAATGTAAGATTTTTGACATATTTAACATTTTCTAAAAATAAAGAACACTTTTTAAATTTGAATAAAAGCTGCCTAAATTGGAATTTACCCGGTATAGCCTAATACGTAGTTAAAATAACAATTTTACTTTAAATCAAATTAAAACTTGAGCCAAAAAATTATACAGGATGAGGCAAAATTAATATCGAACATTTTACACCTTTGAAAACAAATTACTCTTTTATTTTAAATGGAACAGCCAGTATATTATTCCGATATTCAATGGGGAATTCATATCACTTCAAAATACTATTAAGGTTGCCTACCCATCAAACAAGTATTTTCTTAGATACT